GGAGACATATACAAAGGTTGATGCAAGCACAAGGGCAAAGGCAAATACCATGATGCCATCCACTTCGAACAAGGAAAGAACAGCCCTCCAGAATGATCCAGGTCTCGAGCACATGCCAGGAAATCCACCTAAGAAAGAACCGCAAGCTCCCGGATCGTCTTTCACATCGACACCATCGGCTCAACAGTCTCATTCTCGCTCCAAACAGCAAGATTCGCCTCCTTCCACGAAGGCGAGCATGCCGTCGTCTTCGGTGCGACTGAATCCCTACCACGACCACTCCGAGACCAACGATGGCATCCCTCCTCCTATTTGTCTGGTCTCCACCTGCGAGGAAATGAATCCGTCGCGGCGGTCGTCCTTCGAGGATTGCAGCATTTACGCTCCGTCCGGAACCTGGGGCTGCCCCGACGCAAACATGGCCATGCTGGCCGTGGCGGACGGACACGGAGGGCGCGACATTGTTGAGTTCCTCGAGGACGCACTCCTGTTTCACGTTTCTGCGGAACTTCAAATAGATCCGCCGGAAAACGTGGTCGCGGGATCTGGTAGCAGCGCCAGTACCAGCACCGGTGGCAGAGAAAAACGCACAACAACGCATGGCGACAGCATACCGGCACGATTGGAACGGGCCTTTCTGATAACCGATATTCACTCGAAGACGATGGGGTTGATGAGTTCGGGCGCTACCGTAGCGATGTGTCTAGTTACAAGGGGATGCAACAACATGTACAAAACAAATACCGGCGACACCGATCAAAACCAACACCATGGCAAAATCAGCGAAAGCAATCCGGAAAACGTGTGGACCATTTATGCGGCGAATGTCGGCGACGCTAGAATTGTTTTGGGGCACGGGAAAAAGGCCCACCGGCTTACAAAAGACCATAGAACAGACGATCCGGAGGAAGTCCGACGGATCGAAGACAGCGGGGGTTTTATTTTCAAGGGAAGGGTTCTTGGGATTTTGGCCGTAACCAGGTCCCTGGGAGATCATTGTATGAAAGAATACGTGAGTCCGAGACAGAACGAAATGAAAGAGCGAGCGACGGACGGGGAAGCGTATTGACTTGATTGAACTTCTCATCTTGGTAAATTCTTCAAACCATTCTTTTTTGCTGCTTTAGGTCATTGCAAAACCATACACATCTGAAAACAGCATCACGGTAGCACCTGAGACAGACGTATCATTCATAATGTGAGTCATTTTTCAACACGATGACATACATACACAGATTTACATTTCAGATTTACACTCCAGACAAAATACTTCTTGCCCGATGCTGACTGATGAGCTGTGCTTCGTTTTCCTTTCTGATTCACGTTTCGATTCCGGATGGACGCGTTCTCGTTCTCGTGTCCAATGCTCAATGTATTATATTGGTATTTTATTCCAAAAGTTTGGCGTGCGATGGTTTGTGGGATGTTATAAAGGATCAGGAGGCGGTCGACTTTGTTCTAGATCGGATAGCAGAGAAAGAATTGGTGGCAAAATATTTGGTGGAAGAGGCCTTGAAGAGGGGTTCGACCGACAACATTACCGTTTCTGTTGCCTTTTTCACATAAAAGAAAGGACTGCAATACAGTACTATAATGATGATGTTTCTGAACTTCTTCGTAAACAGTAAGACTCATGGACGACGTTAGCAGTTCTGCATGCTATTCACCTCACGATATTGTGCAATGGTCTTATGAGAAGTTATAACAAAGCTCAGTTATGAAAATCAGCTTTACTTTTATTAGTACATGTTCAATCTATATACCATTCGTGCTGCAAAACAGTGCGAATTGACGACAACTAGAAGCGATGTCAAAATTGCTATTGAGTTGAAGCAAAATCAATCCGAAAAATCCAAGACCCGTTCTCACCCACAAGTCCTATATTTATTCCCGTACACTTGGTAAGCGAGTCCGTATCCCGTTGCTGCTATCCGACTGAATTTGATTCTGTGCACTTCCATTAAATTATATCTCCTCTATTATCGGAATACATTGTCATCTCTTGTTGTTTCCGCCCGTGCCGTCGATTGGTTCGTCCCCTTCCTCGGTGGCTTTTCCTGAAACCGGTTTTGAAGAAGAACCTCTGCTTTCTGAAACAAATGAGCAGAGAAATTCCTATACAAAAGCCAATGACAATACCAGCAATCTCTCCCGCGCTGAGGAATTCTTTCATCTCGTGCACTATGTCTTCAGCGACTGTGCTGACGCTGGTTACTGTTTTTATCTCGCAGTGGCGTCCTTCCCACCCCTCTGGACAGTCGCAACCAGAGTTTCTGTGGTGTCAGGGGTACGAGAACAAGCAAACGGAGCGAGCGTTGTGAGCGACTCGACTGTTTGAAGCGCGCAGCCGTTGCGCAAGAGCAACTATTGCGATCGAACCAGTCGTCCAAAAAGAACAGAAACAAAATACCAGAGCCAGATCTAGAGGCCAGACTTACGCAAAATCCAAGTCGGGGTCGTCGGTCTGTTGCTGCCTACACCTTCCGCCGTTAGTGCAAAATGCCGACCCGTGCTCGAACCCATCGCCGCCCCCGTCACAAAAGACGGTGGCGATGTGTTCACAGTACTTTCCTGCGTAAGGCGCATCCATTATGCTTCCCTCGGCGTCACACGCGCATCGGTAAAAGGCCTCTCCGGTGTCCGTAGATCGTTCTTTGACACAGGCGCTCCCATTAAAGCAAGTGTGGCTGTCTCTTCCGCATGTGACGAATTTGATTTCGCATTGCAATCCCGTGTAACCTTTGGGGCAGGTGCAGTACATTCCGTTCTCGTGCAATTCCTGTTCGAACGGAAGGTCGTCTATTTCCGAATCAATCCCAGCATAAGCACCAAACTTCCCGTGTCCATGCCGACAGACTCCTTTGTTATAACAATATAGGTTGCACGTCCAGTCGTAAGCCGATGCCGTGCCCGTCCCAATTGCGGCTACTAGCAGAAGAAACAATCTCGATGGGCTTAGTTTTCGGACAATCATTGCTGTGCTCTTGCTGTTGTATTTGAATCTGTTTTTCAGTCTTTGCGCTTACTCTATGGTGCAAAGGTGTTAGTTTCTCTTGTTTAGAGTATCCCAGAAGGCAGATCCCGCTGTACCTCCATTCAAAGACCAATACAACAACTTCGTACTCTTGGGGATAGATGATGATCGTGAGTGTTTATTTTCGCACCTGCGGGAGGTATTTATTATTTTTTTCCATTTACGTTACTGTACGGTACGTACTTCACTCGGAGGATCGTACAGTTTGTTCAATCGTCTTCTATCGAGATTCTGAAGGGCATATTTGACAACAGTCATAAGCGAATACTATTCATGAAACGTACAGTAATGTAACGCATTAGTTGTTGTTGATTATTTATGAAAAGGCCGGTACGCAAGAAGAAAGTCTTTTTCAGAAAAAGACCCATACGGTACGAATGATGTTGTATTGTACAGTACGCACGTAGCACGAATTTACTGCAAGAACCTCCACAATCTATCCACAACACAGCACGGTGGAGGTCATTCCCTTTCGCGCATTACTCGCACGTACATACCGTAGCGTACAACAATATGTACGTACATAGCTGCTCGTTCTTCTAACGAGAATGATGGCGGAGGTATGAACCATACGTAACCTTGTTACGTACAGAACAGAGTACCAGTACCAGTACCAGTACCAGTACGTACTCGTACCGGCCGGTACAGCTTCATCAATGAAACAGAGAAACGACAAATGATGAAGTAATTTCAAAGAAATTCCTCGCATTGTTTCATGAAAACAATTGGGAACAGGGACATACATATCGGTGCACTGTACCATTGTGTCATGTGAGGAGTGTAATAGAGCACGCTGCTTGCTAGTTTGAGAGAAGAAGGCTCGTACATCGCTTTATCTCTGCATCGCTTTTGTACTTGGAATTCAGACTCTATTCGATACTGCGGTACACACTCTTGTTGCGATACCGTAATAGATAATAATTGGCGATGCCGAGTATGGTGACTGCCGACTCGGTTTTCCCCGATTCAACATCTTCGCAAAGCAATAGCAACAGAGAGGCTCTCGAATCCGCAGCTGTCGTCGGTGTATCTAATAGCAGTAGTAGTGTTGGCAGAAACGACAATACAGATGACCAGGTAGATCAAGATAAACTAGTATTGTGGCAAGGGATTGCATTGTTGACTGCGGACTGTATGGGCGTTGGCATACTGGGATTGCCAAATGAAATCAAAGTCCTGGGTTGGGCGGCTGGATTGACCTTTCTGGTGGTCAACTGCCCCATTAATTTCTACGCGGGTAACTTGCTTTCGGTGCTGGCCTTGAAACTGGAGGCAGATGACGGAACTGAACGTAACGGGACGGATGTCTGCACCGACGCAATGGAAGTGGAGCTTGCGGCAACGGCGAACAGCGCCGCGACTGGAGATTCAAATGTAAGAACTATTCGAAAGAGATTTTCAAATAAGAAACAGTCCTATCAGGGATTGCCGCAGCAGCATCGACAACTGGATACAGGTGTAGCCGTCGTCCAGGAAAGCATCTTCGACGAGGAAGAAGATGTCGTGATCATCGAAAATCACGACGAACCCAAACATGATGGCGAGGACGCGGAATTTTCGGAAGGCTCATTCCAAGACGAAATGACCCCGCACGATGGCGAAGTTGACTCAGAAACTGCAGCAGCTGGTGCTATATGGATCCACACAAGCAACAGAGATAACGACAAACAAACATCGGACCTCATTAATATCACAGCTGCCTTGTTTTCACCCGACAACACTCTCGCTGCTCGCACCTACACAGCCCTCGTCAAGATTCTGTATTACGTTAACTTGTTTTTGGTGTTGGGGGACTACATACTCGTCATGAGCCGATCCGTTGCGGCATTCATTGGCGAGGATATTCTCTGTCTTCCTACAGCGGGAGCAATTGCCAGTATACTGATGTTTGGTCTCTGCCAGTTTCGAACCATGGCCAACCTGGGCCGTTCTGTTTCACTGGCCTCTCTGTTGGCACTTCTTATAGTAATTATCCAATGCCTCTTTCACCATCGGCGCAAAAGCAGCACGGAGAACTACGCCACAGATGTTCCGGAGACGCGAAGCCTGCTACAAGACGACGAGGGCAACGAGGATGATGATGGCATATGGGGGAAGTTTTCGTCTCTGGCCGGAATCGGCTTTGCCGTAGGATCGCAAAAACTCTTTTTGAACATCCGCCACGAGCTCAAGCATCGCGACGARGCTTCCAGGGTCCTCGCAGGATCCTTGTTCACCTATGGCTCGGCCTATGTCKTGGTTGTGCTGTTGGCCGGGCCGGACCCTCCCTCGTTTTTGTTCGATTCCATTCCCGATGGYTGGGGGAGAAAGATGGCTGGGTTGCTTTTGTGGTTTCACGTGGCAGTGAGCTATGCCATCAACAGCCAGGCGCTCTGTGCCTCGTTGGATCACTCTCTRACGGMAGGATCGTCGGTCCGAGGAACATCGATGCTSCCCTGGTTGGGCAATCGCCGCCCTGCCGTTCGCTGGTTCGGCATCACTCTAGTAGTTTCGCTTTCTTCTTACACTGTTTCGAATGCGATTCCCTTCTTCAAGGATTTAGTCGCACTGATTGGGGCTTTGACCAGCGTGCCACTATCTTTGACACTTCCAGCAATTTTGAATCGAAAGTCAAAAAACATTGCTCTCTTGCTGCCTGATCGCTCTTGTCTTTCCACAGGTTCCTATTTTCTTCTGATATACTCATTCATATTCTTGTCCATCGGCCTTATTGGAGCCTTGTCCGAGATCGAAGAAGACTGGTTGATTCAGGGGAAGCCATTTGCTTGTCACTAATCAATAGAAAAGAATAAGGACTTCCATCGGTTCACATTTTATTGTTGTGCTGTGCTGTGCTGTGCAATATACTAGTACTTTGCTGTTGTCTTTGAAATGTCGATACAATAAAAAAATTCTTCATGCCGGTACCAAAGGGAATACTACAATTACTACTACTAGTACTCGTAGTAGGTAGTAACTACCGTACTTGTGCTTTGGTGCTCACCTTGTTCATCCGAGAATACTATTCGTTGTGAGTCGTGCATTTGATGGGAACGCCCACGACTGGGCCGTGATTTTCGAATGATTGCGGTGTTCTTGTCGGTTTGAGTTTTCCTCAAATCAGTACGGTGGGAAAGTGATCAATCGTATCGCACGATGCCGGACAGTACTTCGTGCCATATTGCACGATCGACCAATTGCGTACGTACTGTATTGGTGACTGCTCGCGTCGCGCCGCTTCTCTTCGCTGCGTCTTGATTCGATTCCGCATGCGGCGGGCACCTTTCTTCGGTAGGTTCGACCGGGGAGAAGCAAGCCAAGATCTCCTGCTGACACCGGTCGCCAGCCACAACGGGCTGTTGGTCATTGCCGTTCCCACAAAAAAAAGATTTTCGAGAATCGAACACACGAGAAACGAAAGAAAAACAAACAGAACCAGAGAAATCTGCGCAACGCACGACGCAGCCTACTAGCGACACGATGAACAACCACAAAGGAATCCTGGCCCTGGCCTTGGTTTTTGTAGCTCCGGATGCAACTCTCGGCTTTTTGATCCACCGGCAAGCTCCTGCGCCATCGAGTCGTTTCGACGGGAACAATCCTTTCCGCGACCTCGACGTCGACATCGATCTGGCGGAGGATTGTGCCTCCAACTTTGGGAAATATTCGTTCGAGGAAATCAAGCAATGCAGGGACGGTAAGTCATGTTACGGGCGGGATGAAAAGACCGATCGCCGCATTGTGTCGGAACGAAAGCACGTCTCACGTCTGCTGCTTCTGCTGCCGATTTCTCTTGCACAACGCCTCGTGCCTTGGATTCTCGAAGAAATCCACGCCCACCGGGTCCAAAACGTCGCGCTGGGGGATTCCACGACCCCCGATCTCATCAAGGAACGCTTTCTGGAAACGGAGCTTACCATGCAGCTCGAGCGGCTCCAGAACGACATGCCGGAGTCGTACCTGTTCCCGGACGAGGGGAGCTTCGACGAGGGCATCGACACCGATGTGGGGCTGGACGGGATTCTCCTGGACAACGGGCTCATCGCCATGGACCTGCCCACTCCCAGGGACGCAGCCTCCTCCGAGAACCGCGCCGGAACGAAGCAGGTGAACGTTTGGAAAGACCTTGTTGCCGCGGAAGGAGTCCTCGAGTCGATCGCCATCTGCGGCATGCTCGGATTCATGATGATGGCGCCGAATCTCAACTGAGAAAGACAAAAGGAGGAGCCGGTGGCTTGTTCCGGACGCGAGATGGACTGGCTCGGCTGCGTTTCTGTTTGCACAATCGTTCCTGCATGCCGTGTCGAACCCACCCGACACCCACGGCAGCAAGATTCTACATTACGGCGTCGGCGGGCGGTTCCTGCCTTGCACCAATAGTACCGCCGCACACGTATCGCATTAAACCTCATTATACCTATTATTGTGGCTATCGACTATTGTACATAGTTGTTTGCTTTCGGGCCGGGAACGAGAATGCAATCCTTCACAACCTTTGTGGCTGCATCCGTATACAGGGCTTTTTCTCTCGCGTCGCCCGGGCTTGCAATCTACCGTATTGGGGCTAGCAGCTGAGGCTAGCAGGTGATTCCATTCCATTCCATTTCGTTCGGATCGAGTGCAGTGTCCTACAAAACGATCGAATGCCGCACACCCGAAAGAGTATGGTGGCTGCTCCCGTTTTTGTCGTGCACAGCGAGCACAATGTTTGCTTTCCCGCCTTGAATGGCTTGCCGGGCGGTGCCCATCGGTGCAAAACGGATCCCCGGGGAGTCCACGTCGGCGGCGTACCGGTTCGGTTCGGTTCGATTCGATTCGATTCGATTCGATTCGATTCGATTGGGAATCGTCAATCGGCAGTCGAAACGAACAATCGAAACGAACGAACGAACGAATCGATCAACCAAAAATGTCGTCAAAGAAATCGCCGCCCTTTTCCTTCTTTTTCTTTCGTTTCTTCGACGGCTGCTTGGAGGTTCGTTTCTTCTTGCCCCTGCTTTCCCCGCCCGGGCGGTCCGCGGCCCGCTTCTTCGGGCTCGGCTGTTCTGCGGAGGCGGAAGCACCCCGATCGCCAACTGGCCCGCCCTTCTTCTTGGTTCGAAACCGGTCGACGAGCGACAGGTTGCGGTCCAGCGCGTCGTCCGGGTGGGTGCCGGCGCCCGCGCTCCTGTTCCGCCCGGTTCCCGGACGCTCCGAGGGGTGGTCGTCCCCGCCGCCGCCGACCGATCCGTCCCCCGTGGAGTCGTCCGCGAGCGCCGGTGCCGCCGCGAGGGTGTGGTAGTCGTCGTCGTCGTGCTCGTGCTCGCCGTCGTCCTTGTCTTCCGCCAGCGGCGACGGCTTCCACGGGGTCTCGGCGCCCTCTTCTCCGTGTCCCCCGCCACCGGCCTTGCCGGACAAAGCGGCCTTTCCGCCGTCCCCTTCGCTAGCCGTTTTCCGGGCCGATGCTGCGGCAGACCCCGGTGGCGAGAGGCCCAGGCTCTTCAGGGTGGCGACCGTGTCGGAAGACGCAAAGGCGGCCCGGCCTCCCGGGTCACCGCCCGCGCTTCGCAGCATCGCCCTCCGTTGTCGCTCGCGGTCGCCGCCCCCGGGCTCGACAAAGAGGTCCATGCAGCGCCTGTACGCGGCAATTGGGACGTTCGGGGCCGCGCTCGATTTCGGATTCGGTGTCGGTGTCGATATTGGTGCCGGGTCGAGCTCCTGCAGCCTGGCCAGGCCCCGGGCCCCGATCTCCGCGCAAAAGGCCCGTATCCGGGCGAGGGCGGCCAGGGCCACCGTCACAAAGGGCAGAAAGAACCCCCGGCTCGCCTCCTTGAAGAGGGCCCCCGAAGCGTGCTTGATCCGGGAGAGGACCTCGGGGAGGGTCCCCGTCCAGACCCTGACCAGCTCCGAGAGCGCCCCTTGTGCGGCCCTTCTTTTCTCCGCGAGCAGGGACCCTTGGTCCCAGCGCTCGTCCGCCTTGGAATGGCGCCCCTTCCGCTTCCGGCTCGCGGCGGCCAAGGTCTGCTCCCGGAAGCACCGGTCCGCCTCCGCGTGCAGGGCCTGCAGCCTTCGGACGGCGTCCACCACCAGCAGCGGGCGCTTCCCCGAGGGACCGGCCGGGAGCAGGAGCTTCTTCAGGACCATCTCCATGCGGCGGAAGTAGAGGGTCCGGCCGTGGCTGCACCGGTGGCGCTTCAGGAGGGTTTCCAGGAGGAAGGTTTCCAGCGCGAGGCCTTCGAGGTAGGCCTCGGGGACGAAAGCATGGGCGCCGGCGGTGGTGGTCATGCTTGTTGTCCCGGCGCTGGGTGGAAGGGTTGGGTGCTGCGGAGCGGTGCGGTGTGGTGTGGTGTGGTGTGGTGTGGTGTGGTCGTTTGGGTGCTAGTACTAGTGCTAGTGGTGGTGGTGGTGGTTGGGGAGGGGATCTTGTTCGCGGTGTTGGGTTGCCGGGATTTGACGCCGCTGCCACCACGGAACAGGAACAACCATCCACGAGCAAACAGAACCATCGTCCGAAGACGAAATTGGTATTGGTACGTACCGTACCGCACATACCTGTACATACCAGTACGTACGAAGCGAGCGACGAGGGAAGGCGTCAACGAAAAACAACAAACAACTTTTTGCCGTCGATGATTTATTTTTCTTGGTCGTTGATGGT